GTGTTTATCTCTTGTTAAAACGGTATGCGAATCAGTACAAGATTCCTTGCTCATGAATAAAGTAATTCCAGTTTCTTGAAGAATAAAAACCATCTGGTTTGACCATACATTTTCTTAGTTTTTCTGTTTTGCCTAACAATTTTTTTTTGTTTTAGTTTTTACAACTCCAAAACCAGAAGAAACAGAGTCGCCATCGCCAACCCCAACTGGTAAACTTCTTGAAAATAATTGTTCTTAAAATTATACTTTAAGAGCTTCATTTCTTTTATTATAGATATTATTACTATTGATATCATCTAAATTACGGCCTGCTTCTCCTATACTTTAAAGAACAATACAAAGCGTAATTTTAATTGAGAAAATAAAAAGTGCAGTCCAAAATGATGGGCGACAAAAAATATGAAGAAAAGCGGAATAAATCAATTTAATAAAGGGGAAGAGTGAAGGTTTGTGTAATGGTACTTTAATCTCACCTCTAACCCGAACCCCAACCCTTTTGACTGCCCTGGGGTCTTAGAGTCTCTTCCTTGATTCAAGGGTTTGTTCAAGGTTTCCGCACCTGTTTTCCTTCCAGCACGAGACCTAATACTCCAATCCGCAATCTGTGAATTATTTAGCCGTACACAAAGGAGGATGTTTGACTAGTATGCTTTGCGCGCCGTACTCATTATGCATCTGTATTCAACGTTTGAAAAATTTCCTCTCGACGGCGATTTTCCTCGAATTTCTCGCCAAACAAAAACAACAGCTTTTGGCTTATTAAAGATTTTCTGCATCCATACTGATGATTTTTCTCTGGGACCTAGTTTGGTATTTTTGTAATTTTTGCCTTAGGAAAAATCAAAATATGTCGTATCAATAATTGTATGATTTGAAAAAGATTTGACAATTGAAGTGTTTTTAAGGCTTTGAATTATGTGGGAATAGGAGCTTTGCACCATCACGTGATGGCAGCCATGAATGGGGGGCCTAACGATAGTCTTTTCCCCCTGCGCCGGGAAACTGAATCCTTTCTAATGTAAATCATGTTAGATCAGAATCAATTGTTCCTGCCCCCTGTCATGACTGCCATCATGATCACGTGATGGTGCAAAGCCTCTATAAGTCGAACTTAGAGAAAAGGAAATATAAAAAAGGACACTACACCTACAATAAGTATAATCTTCATACTATGCTATATACCTTAAGACTAGCTCCACGTTTGAGGGATCGGAGATACGGCCAGTACAATTTCCACTAAAATTCGCCATGTGTTTCATTTCGTCTTGTATTACGTCCTTGATTTGACGTGAACCTCCTAGATTTACCAAAAATGGTGTTTTTGAGTATCTTATACAATACTGATAATCTTGATTTTGAAATAGAATATTGAATATTGAATAGAAAAGGAATCACGATTTCCCTCTATAATCTCCATAATCGAGTCCATAGACCATGTTTCTGCATTGAGTAGATCACGTGACTTTTCAATATGATAATATAGTTGGTCGAGG